ATTGCTTTCTGTCTCATCAGTAGTGAGCTAGTACTACTTTTCACTCTTCTGTCTTTTACATCTGCCATAGTAGACATGAATTTGGATCCCTAAGCAGCTGTCACAGAAAAAAAATGTTCTAATTTATATCACCATGGTCCTGTCCAACTGCTTCTCATACATGTCTCTTTCCCCCAGTGCCCTGTGGTCCAGTTCCAGAAGTTATATACTAGGCAGAATGTAATCTGTTTGTGCTCTGTTCTCTGTGACTATCCCCCCACCTTCCCCTTCCAAATGCTGTGTTACACCATTTTAAATGCCAAGATTCTCCTTCATCTTCCAAAGACATTATCCTGCCAATCCTGCCTGCTCCCCATATGCTCGCTGTGTGGTGCTGCAGTCACCACTGTGGAAGGTGTTGGAAGCACAAAAACCAGGATTCACCCAATTCAGCTACTGTGTAGCACTGGTTGGACTGTTTTGCTTCTTCCTTTCCTGTAGTCTGGTCATATCTGCAATGATGGTAGGACTTGGTGTGGAGGTTCAGTGATTCTCTCCAGTATACAGTTGTTATAAGACAGGAGTGTCAAATACACCCCGTGTCCTGGGCCAGATCTAGACCATGGAGCTTCACATGGGACGGATCCACGAGGCAAATGGTGGAGATGTCAGCAGCAGTAGCAGAGGTTACACCAGTAAGACCAGCAGCTGCCTGCCAGGTAGCCCCACACTGAAGCACCCTCATGCCACAGCCAGCCCCTCCGCAGCACGGTGAGCCAGGTTGGAGCAGCCCCAGGCTGGCAGGATGACTCCCCAGCCTCCCTGCCAGGTTGGGCTGCTCTGAATCTGATCAATGTGCTGTGGTCCTGGGTGCATGTATATTCAGGTACATTCATTTCACATATATATGTGCCCTGTCATGTGAAAGAAAATGAAGTCAGGGGCTGTTTTTGTCTCATTTTTCTTAACAAGTTTATCCATTTGAATGTTGGGAATCTGTCTCCTGTTGGGAAACCCCAGCTATTCTCCCAGGCCTAGCTTGTGGATCAGGCCTCACTACAAGTAGGTCCCACAAGGAGAAACTTGTTTTACCTGCACCACAAGACAGATAACCGAACTACTCTGTAGCTCTGATTGTGGTACTATGGCTATGGTAACCCCTGCTGTGGTGTTACCCGCAGCCCACCAGGGTCAGAAGCTGCCTGATTTGTTCAGGGGCAGATCCAGTAACCTCAGGCCATGGCATATCATTGCTCCTTCTCCCAAGCCACGCTCTGAGAGCACTGCCAAACATCTGGTTTCACAGCTACAAGGCCAAAACATGTGAAGTGGAAAAGCTAAAGAGGCAGCTGACAAGGTTGGTCACTTTCTTCTGTGAACAGAAGTTAAAATTGTTTCTTTTCTTCCTGTCTCAACCTAAACTTAACCATTTACTGGATAAATGTGAGGTTAACAGACACTTGAGAAGTGCAACGGCCCAGTTCATCCCAGACCTCAGTGGAGTTACGGCAGCAATAGTTTGGCTCGGTAGCTTCATCTTCCTGCAGTTTGCAATGTTGTGACACTGATTAAAGTGAGATTTATGTGCTTTCTTTAGGACTGGGCGTCCAGTCCGTTTTCTCTTGGAGCGACATGATGATATGCTCATCGTTGGAAACCGACACCCTTTCCTTGGAAAATATAAGGTGAGTGGGAAGGGGAGATAGATCACAGAACTATCTTGGGCAAGACCCTTGGGTGGTATAAATCAAGTACTGCTTTATTGAAGCTGATGGAGTCACCTCTGCTTGCACCAGTTAAGGATCCTGGGCCTAGTTGTGTTGGTTTGGATTGTGTTGGTTTGAATCTGGGTTTTCATTTTGGTTGCTTTGATTGTTCTCTTCTAGATGTTGTTATAAATGAGACATTAAATCAGTGGGCACAAAAATGATGAAAAACCAAAAAGGAATAAATGCAAGCTAACAATAAGCTTTCTGAAGGATCCTTCTGCAAAATGTCTGCAGCATTTGCTTATGGTATTAACTTAATGAATCAGGTCAGAGGCAAGTTACTAGTGGAGCTTTAATGAAGTTCCAGGGCCGGTCCTAAGAACATAGAAGCATAGGAACTGCCATTTACTGGGTCTGACCATAGGCCAATCTAACCCAGTAATCTGTAGCACTCAGTGGCAGAAGTGGATGCTGAGGAGGATGGTAAATAGAGCATGTCCAGAAGTGTCCAACCCCCTGCTCTTCTTCCACTGCAGCTTCAAGCATTCAGGGGTTTAGGATACACACTGTGTGAAAAAGAACATCCTTTTGTTAGTTTTAGACCTGCTACCTAATCGTTCCATTGCATGTCCCCTACGCCTAGTATTGTAAGAAAAAGTAAATAATAAATCCCTATTTATTTTCTCTGCACCAGTTAATATTTTGTAAACCTCTGTCATGTTCCCACTCTATCATATTCCAGTCCATCTCTTACATAAATGGAAAAGCGCTATCCTATTTAGTCTCTCCTCACTTGGATGTCCTTCTATACCCCTGGTCACCTGGGTTGCCCTTCACTTTTCATTTCTAGTTCTTTTATATTCTTTTAGGTGGAAGCCATACAAAACTGATGCAGGGTTCAAATTGTGGATACACCACAGATTTATAAAGGGTCATAATGGTACTTTCTGTTTTGTTTACAATTCCCTGTTGTTGAATGCCGATGTTTTAGTGAACCATCTACAGACTCTGCAATGCCTCCGAAATCTCTTTCCTCATTTTTTTTCCAAAACAGGAAAACAAATACCTGATCATGTATATATATTTTGTGTTGCTTTCCCCCATGTACATCGCTTTACACAAATCAGCGTGGAATTTCATCTGCCATTTCTTTCTCATTCCCTCAGTTTTACAAGTTTCTTCTGTAGCTCTTTACAGTCCGCTTTGATTTTATCACTCTGAATAATTGCATGTAATCTGCAAACTTGGCAAGCTCACTAGCCACTTCCCTTTTCATTTACCATAGTAAGGTTTAATTGTTTAATTAACATTATTAAACAGCACTGGTCCAGCATAGATCCTTGGGAAACTTCACTGTTATTTCTTTTTGTTCAAAGAACTGCCCATGTTGCCCACTCTTTGTTCCTGCTTTATGTTTTCATTAATGATGGTAGCATGATGGTAGCACCTAAAATGGAAGTGTGCTAATGAAACTTGCTGATGCCACAAAGCTGGAAGGCATCATCAATATACCAGAGGCCTGGACTATCACAGAGGACCAACAGATTACCAGGAGGTCTGCAATAGTAAAATGGCACGCAATGTAATATTACAAAAGTGCAAGTCAGTTAGGAACTAACAATGAACACTTCTGCTGTAAACGGAGAGCTCATCAGTTGAAAATCTCAGAGGAAGAGAAAGGCCTAGTATAGCAGTCAATCCCAGGATGACATGGAGTATATCTACCCAGAACAGTGCAGAGTAAATGAGCAAGCTAATTTATCAGAAGCAGTAACTTTGTTACTACAGTGCTCTGCCTCAGGTATTTTAAATTGTCAGTAGGGTAGATTAGCATAGGAGAAGCTAATTAGGACAGGTCTCCTAGTCCACTTACAGCTGGTTCAAGCATCTCTATGTAGCACTGTGTTGTGCAGTGCAAATACATCTTATGAGCCAGCAGTGTCATGCAGCTATGAAAAAGGCAAATAAGATCCTCAGACACATCCGCAGAAGTATTTCCAGTAGAGATACAGATGTATTAGTGGCAATGTACAAGGCCCTGGTGACAGCTCACCTGGAATATTTTCTACAATTCTCATCAACTTGTTCAAGAAAGGTTAATCACATTTTTAATGGATGTGAAGAAAAGGCTACTAGAATTATTTGGGAACTTCAGAGTGAGTTTTCTGAGAGGAGAGCACAAGAGCTTGGATTTTAGCCAAGCAAACAACAGCTGTGAGCAGATATGACTGCTCTCTGTAAGTGCCTCAAGAGGATAAACACCACAGTAGAAGCTATAAATTAAAGGGCAAGGTTGGCACAAAGGTAAATGTTGATAAACTGGCCAAGCATAAATTTATATTGGATATTAGAAAAAACTCGTAACAGTTAGAGGAGAAATACTCTGAAACAGGCTGGCAAT